TTGCAAAGATAGGAAACATGTCATAGGCGTTCCACAGACGCAATATACCAGGAGTATCAAACATGATTGCGTACAAAGAAAAACATGACAGTTCAACGGGATCAAGCGTTCAGAAATTCAAGCACAATGAGAAACGTTTTGAAAACACATCGTCAAAGAAAAATAAATGAAAGAAATTCAACGAGGTCTTAGGTTTCAACGTAGAATCCCAATGAGAGAAACTTATTCAGGTTGTCACAAAAATATACCGTAGAAGAAAAAAACATGTCGGTGTTGCAATGGAGTGTACAGGGGATGTTGAAATATGAAAATTACATAGAGTTTTTTAAAAATATATCGTATTTTTATACATCATTGACTTACTCATAGCTTGACATTATAGCTGGATGTAGAGTTTTCATTTGCATAGTAGTCTAATTTCTTGTCGAAATGCAGTAGATCTCAAATCTCATATACTTCACAGTTCAAAGATAGTCGAATATCAATAATACTCTCAGATTGGTCAGCCGAAGTGGAGGTAATTCATTAAGATCCCACATACGATAAGCAACCCTTATTTTGGTAATATTACCACTTTGATTGAAGGGGCTCAGTAGTTTTTTTTCTGTCGGTTTTTTGGTGAAATATGCCTGATTGATTACCAATGTTTCATCGACTTCTCGAAAAAATGACATTTCGAATGGGAATGCTATAAATAGAACAAGCTGTTGCTTTTCAATCAATATTTCCTTGTTGTAATTTTTAGCGAAACACATGATACCCATGATACTTCAAAGTTTATTTATAACTGAATACATGGCTGACGAGTTTAGTATATCTTGTTTCTTCACTTCTAAACCTCATCCTATCGATAGAAATGAATTTTCGTGCGCTTGTCCAAATGATACCATACTTTTTATTGTGTCGGTTATGCCAGGATTTTGAACAACAGCCTCATGCTCATCACCCATTCCATACCAAATTTCATCAAAAGAAAACGGGAACGTTATTGGATTAGTAGCATTGCTTGGTAGCACCAGATGGTGTGAATTTTCCTTTGATATATATGTGGCTGTATACAATGTCCACTATAGGACCTTGAATATCAATATCAACTCCAGGTTGTCCTCACAATACAGTGACTAACACTGTCCCACTTTTATTAGCCAGGTAGGTGTATTTTGAATAGAAGTTCATTGATGAGGGAATTGACCAATCCTCTACGGGTTTTATCCGATGGCAGTTCAGTACATCTACATCGGCTCATTATCCTAATTTAAATAAAGGTCCCAGTTTAATCTTACACTTGAAGATGATCGGTTGGTGATCAAAATACGTGTCGAAGAGTTAAAAAAAAACGATTGGGTGTTGAGATAAAACTCCAGTAATATTCAAAGATAGTGAAATCCGCTTATTTAGACACCAATACAGTACGCATTATCAAGCAGAAGCAAAAATTTCGCGTCTATAACTGGATGAAAAAGAGGTGAGAGGAACTGGTGTTGAACAGCGTGGTCTAATTAATTATTGTAGAATGTAGAAATTTGACAGGTAGTGAGTCATAATGATTTAAAATACTATATAAGCACGACACACAATTTGTACAAATTGTATTGTGACCCCCGAAGATGCTATCGGTTAAATAAACTTTCAGATGGATCTCTCACGTCATAATGTGTTATTTTGAATACGTTATATGAAATACCAAGTCATAATATATTGTTAATATAAGGGAGCCCTGTTATAGGCTTATGCCTCATCAGGGTTATTCAATGTTTACAAACAATTCGTTTGATTTCTGATTTAGAATATTGTTTCATTATCTGACAGGTGATAATTACAGAGCTTCATTAGTTATTATCACTTTATTTTTTATTTTTTCAAAACACGTGTCGAAGTGTTAAAAATATAACCCCTTCAATTCACATCATTATATTATCCCACTTCTGGTTTCAACTCATTTCATTATAGATTAAAAATTCAGAATTCTCTAAATGTTATTCTTATTTCCTTGACAGATCAGAAGATTGACAAATGTTTGACAAATTGAGTCATCATAGGTATAGTTCAACAATATATTGCAATCTACCCTCCAACAGCTTCCCTTTAATAATATAGTTAGGGAGGTAACTATTTCGATATTCAATAATCATTTCTGATAATACAA